GGTGCCAAAGCCTGGGTGAGGGCCTCTACTTGCAGCGTCTTGGGATTTCAGACTGGGAAAAGTGGAAAGCAGAGAGAGAAGGAGCCTGAGGGTCCGGGTCAGGAAGCAAGGACGGTCCTGGGCTCCCGTTTCCCTCCACCGTGCCCCAGGGCTGTGGCCACAGCAGGGGGGGGGTCTCAGCAGCTGGACAGGAAGGTAGGGCCTGGCCTTCCACCCCAGGTCTCCTGCAGGTGGCCTTCCTAAGGAAATGCCTTCAGACACCAGGGACCTGAGGGATGTGGCTCCTGACTCCTGGGGACACTCCCGCTCGGGCCCCTCCTCTCGAGGTCTGGGCGGGTCTCCCCTACCTTCTCTGGGCCTGGTTTCTTTCCTGGGGGGCCATTTAGACCACGCCCCGCCCCAGCTGCTGTCCTCTGGTTGCAGTAGCTCCAGCTTTTCCCGGAAGGCACTGGCATGACTTGGCTCTCCCCAAACCCAGGACGGTGGCTTCTGGAAGGTTCTGCCCCCACTGGGACAGCAGGAGTTTTACCCTGAATTCTTGAGGCCCGCCTCCTGACTCAGAGGAGGAACATCAGCTCTCGCCCATCAGGACTGCCCAGAACTCGCCGAGTCTCTTGAGCAGGGGCATTAATTCCAACACAAATTGAAATCACCGCTCGCGTCCCTCGGTGGGAATTCAGCCAGCAGAAGGCGTCTGGAAGTGAATTAGCTGTCCACCGAGAAATCAAAACCTCCCTCTTGGCAAAGCGAGAGGAAACGTCCGACCTTTCAGGACAATTTCCCTCCTTAGCCTTCTGGAGCCTCCCCCTTCCCAGCGCGGTCTGAGAGCCGAGTGGTCCTCCCGGGCCCCCGGATGTGAGTGAAACCCCGGGGCCTGTCCGTGTTGGGTCTGCGATGTCTTCATCTCCGGGGACGCTCCTGCTCTTCCCTTTCGTCCAGGCTTGTGCTGGTGGGCTCCCTGCATGGTCTCAGGACAGGAGTGGACAGGGCTCTCTCCTCAGGGTCAGGACCGGGCACTGCAGAGGTCACGGCAGAGGAGACCGGGCTGCCCCACACTCCGTCTGCCTTTGCCTCCCCGACCTCAGCCCCGGCCTGGCTCAGGGAGCACACAGGAGGAGGTGCCGAGGGCTGGCCCTGCGTTCATCCACTTCTTCAACAGGGGTCGGTTGAGCACCTACTGTGCGCCATGCCCTGGGCTGAGCAGAGCAGGCCTGGGGCTATGTGGGGTGTTCATGGTCCAGCAGGAGCAGGGCAGCAAGCCAGTCAGTGGAAAGGGCTGCAGGAATTGCTGCCAGGAGTGGCCGTGGGCCCCAGGGAGAACTTACCAGTGGAGGTGAAGGGAGGGACAGAGGGGGGGAGGGCCTCAGAGCAGGGACCCTCCCCCCAGAGCCCCCAAGCCCCGGCAGCACCTGGGAGCTGTGGCTGTGAAGGTGGCGCTCACTCCTGGCCCCCTCTGGGTGGAGCGGAACTGTCTGTGTTGGACACGAGCAGGAGGGCACGCCGGCCACCCTGGCCTCCTCTGGGGGCTGCCCTGTGCCGTGGATGAGACCCCCATTGCTGCTCTAACAAAACGCCTCCCGCCAGGACCCCCACCTCACCATCCTTCCCCAGCCCAGGAGGAGGCGGGAGCCACTGGGCTCTAGCCCATGACGATACTTGTGCACCCTCGAAGTCCCTTGGTCACTGTGAGGGACAGTGTCTTCCGTTCACACTGGGACAGCCATCCCGAGGTGCGTCCAGAGCCCTCCCAGGTGTGGACTCTGTTGGTCCCAGAGCGTGACCTCACCTGCTCCCCAGGTGGCTTCCCTGAGTGTGGCCAGTGTCATTCCCATTTTTCAGCTGAACACCAGGGTTAGCGAGCCCCCGAGAGGAGCCGGGCGAGGTGGACTCCTGGCCTGGGGGTCACCCCCTCCTGGCTTGTTGGAATAAGGGACCCTGCGACCAGCTCAGGGTTTCCTGGTGGTGCTTTTGGCCCAAGTAGAATTTGATGGGGGAACAGACAGGGATTTCATGGGCAGTGGGGGGGGGGGACGGTCCCCTTGGTCTCCTTGGCTTGGGGATGCTTCCCCTTGGGGACCAGCTCTGTGGATTCCTGTTCCACACCAAGACGTTGTTAACAAGTTGATCTCTTTCTTTGAAGGGAGAGGTCTGCCTCTGCATTTGCTGTGCAACCCGAGGGCGCCTCAGGCTTGGGGCCTGGCCCTGGACGGGGTCTTTCTGGCTGACTCGGGTGGTAGGCGGCCACAGGTGTGGGTCTTCACCCGGCAGCCCTCTCTGTGGCTGCACATACACAGCCCACCTTCCCCCCACCGGGCTCTCATCCAGCTCTTGGGAACTCATCAAGGTGCTCCGGTGACAGTGGCCAGTGGCCTTCTGGATTCTTTGAGTGCAGCCCTTGCTGCTCTGCCACTGCGACTTGTCTTTAAAGTGTTTTCTCTTCCTCTCCCCTCCCTCCCTAATCCCTCTTCTCCCTAATCTCTCCCAGCCCAGCCTCAGGGAAACAGGATTAGCTTCTTCCCTGTCCTGGGCAGAGCTCTCTGTCCTGGAGACACACACCACAGGACAAAGTCCTCCACTTGGAGATGGCACCGGGAATCTCAGGAATGACTGTCTCCGGAGTTAACAAGGGGATTCCGCCTCGGACAGAGACAGCTCTTAAAACCCCCTGTTCCCCCATGTGCAGCCACAGGCTCTGGGACCGGAGTTCCCGGGCTTCTCCTTGTTGGCGAAGCCATAAGCCTTCTTTTCCCTCCTGGGCTCTGGACTCCGCCCACTGGGTCCTTCAGGACACACCTCAGGAACACGCTGTGATGGCCGCCGTCAGTGCTGCCGCTCTGCACTCACCGGAGACTTCCAGTGCGGTGGCTTTGGGCTTTGTCACTCTGTGGATTTGATTTGCCACTTTCAAAGCTGATGGACACCTAGGCTGGCAAATGCAGAGATGATGGATGGAAAGACGCGTTATCCAGGGTCGAGATTCCGGCACGTTGTGCTTGGCCACTGGCCTGGTGAC